AAGTTATCAATGACACTGCAAAGAATGGGTCTTCCAGAACACTTCATTGAGCTCAAGAGGAACCTATACATAGACCAAATGGCATTTGTCAAAGTGGTATTAGGGGAATACTGATGTGGTGCTGTGGAATAATAAGGCACTGGACTGTAAGGTAGGTTTGAACCACAAGGCCGGCAGTTCAAACTCACCATCCACTCCTTGGAAACCCTGTACAGGGTTGCTATGAGTCAGAAGAACTCAGTGGCATTTATAACAACAAAAGAGGATATTGAATGGTTTAAATTCAGGGAAGGTGTATGCTAGAATTCTATCTCTTTACCATATTTACCAGTCTGCATGTAGAGTAAATAATCTGAGAAACTGGATTATATGAAGAATGTGGTATCAGGATTGGAAGAAGATTCATTAACAATCTACGATATACAGATGATACAACCTTGCTTGCTGGAAGTGAAGTGACTTAAAATACTAACTGATGAAGATCAAATACCACAGCCTTTAGTATGTACTGCACCTCAATGCAAAGACAAGAGAAATCCTCATCCCTGGACTAATAAATAACATCATGATAAATGAAAAGACTGAAGTTGTCCAAGACTTCATTTTGCTTGAATTAGCCATCAACACTTTTGGAAGCAGCAGTCTAGAAATTAAACAATGTATTGCCTTAGACAAAACTGCTGCGCAATACCTCATCAAAATGTTCAAGAGCAAAGATACCAGTTTGAGGACTAAGGTGTATCTGACCCAAGTCATAGTATTTTCAATTGCCACATATGCATGTGAACATTGGACAATGAAAAGGGAAGACTGCAGAAAAATTGATGTATTTGAATTATGATATTGGAGAAAAATATTGAAAATTTCATGGACAGCCAGAAGATCCAGAGAACAAAAAAAATCTGTGTTGGAAGAAGCACAGCCAGGGCTGGTGAGACTTTGTCTGTTATAGTTCAGACATGTTATTAGGAGGAACCAGTGACTAGAGAAGGGCATCACGCATGGTAAAGTGGAGGTTCAGTGAAAATTCAGAAGACCGCCATGGAGAAGGATTGACACAGTGGCAGCAGCAATCGACCCAAACATACTAACAATCATGAGGATGGTACAGGACTGTTATGAATAGTGTCTCTATGAGTCAGACTTGATTCCATGGTATCTAATAGAAACAACAATATCAACATTTTAAGAGAACTTAGGTAGATATTGTCCAAAATCATTGAAACATTGTAACACATTTATGGAAATACTGTCCCACAGAAAATAATAGTTTCTAGAAGGATCAAATGTCCTAAAGATGGTTGGGAAGCCCTCAGATATGATCTTTGAGAAGCAAGATCATCAACCTTGATGAATGAAGAAACTGTGACTGAAGTCCAGAAGTTGTTCCAAGAAGACCATAGAATTGCCATTGATAAGGTTTGTTACTGTTGTTAACTACCGTGGAGTCGGTTCCGACTCACAGTGACACTACACAGAGTTTCTGAGGCTGCAAATCTTTACGGGTGCAGAAAGCCTCATCTTTCTCCTGTGGAACAGCTGGTAGTTTCGAACTGCCAACCTTGAGGTTAGCAACCTGATTTGTAACCACTACGCAAAAATTGGAATCTCTCATGATTGGGCATTTTGAAATTTAAATGATTAACTTGCCCTTGGCAAGCTTTCAGCTGGATAGGTGCCAAAAACATTATGCAAACATCAGGTAGCTCAAAGAGCTATCAGTTGTTTGAGCAAGACTGAAGTTTATGAAGATGATTATATAGAACTGGAGATAGTCTTGGATTTACTAATACAATTCAGAGAGTAAAGTCCAATCAAAACAGTGACTTTTGAGGGGCTCTTCTGGGCCAGTTAAATTTAAAACAGAGAGGTCTGAATGAAGGTTATGGTAATTGTGTGTGTGTGTGTGGGGGGGGTGGATTCCAAAAGGGTAATTTTGATAGATTTTCTTGATGGACACAGGATGAGCATGAAGGCTTACATGAAGTTTTAAGAAAATTGAAAACTACTTCAGTGAGAAAAAGTTCAGGAAAGTTGTCTATGAATTTGTTTCTCCATCACAACAAAGCACCTCCTCATTCTCTTAGAGTAGCAGGGCTGTCTATGAGAGTTCTTTGTGAAACCTTACCAGACCCACCCTGTAGCCCTTGATCTTGTCCCTCCAGATTTCTTTTCATTCCCCAAATTCAAAGAACATTGAAATGGATCACTATATGAGTGTTTTGAGAATGTCAAAACTAGTGCTTCGATGTGATGTAAATCAAAGAGCACATAACTCTTTGGGGGAAGGGTTAAGAAGATGGAAACCACTGCCTTCAGCTGTGAATAAACATTGATGGAAGGTATGTCAAGAAACAATAGTTTCACACTTTGATATTTTTGTTTAATAAATATTTCTATGATTTGTAGCAATACTTTTTGACTTACCTTCATACAACAGCTAGTTCCTATTAGCCTACAACAGAGGAAGGGGAGTCAGGAATAGGAGAAAGAAATGAAATGTGTTGCTAATTGCTTCTATGAATCTCCTTTGCCATGAGACCAGATGAATTGGATAGTGCAGAGCTGCAATTACTGAGCATTTAGATCCAAGATTCTATAGATTCCTACTCAAAAGAGGGAAAATGTAGAACAGAATTTAAAATCCTCACAGAATCCAGAATTTCTGGAGCCATTAGAGATGGATGAACAAATTATTGCACTGAGATAATCTTTAAACTTTAAACCAAAACTACCCTTGAAGTCTTGTTGTTGTTGTTGTTGTTAGGTGTCATCGAGTCGGTACTGACTCATAGTCACCCTATGTACAACAAAATGAAACACTACCTGGTCCTGGGCCAACCTCACTACTGTTGCCATGCTTGAGCCCATTGATGCTGCCACTTTGCCAATCCATCTTGTTGGGGGTCTTCCTCTTTTTCTCTGACCCTCCTCCTTACCAAACATGACATCCTTTTCCAGTGACTGGTCCCTCCTGACAATATGTCCGGAGTATGAGAGATGAAGTTTGGCCATCCTGGCCTCAAAGGAACACTCTGGCTGCACTTCTTCCAACACAGATCTGTTGGTTCTATGGGCAGCCCAAGGCACTTTCAGTATTCTCCTCCAACACCATAACTCAAATGCATCAATTCTTTTACTGTCTTCTTTATTTACTGTCCAGCTTTCACATGCATATAAAGTTATTGAAAATACCATGGCTTGGGTCAGGCGCACCTTAGTTCTCAAGCTGACATCTTTGTTTCTCAACACTTTAAAAAGGTCTCGTGCAGCTGATTTGCCTAACGCAATACGTTGTCGTCTTAAAACCAAATGATAATTCAGCTTAACTAGTAAACTTAACTACTTTGACCAAACTGACAATAAAAACTTGTAAACTTAGACAGCAGTGAGTTAATGGGACAGGTAAAACCCACAAAAATGTACATTGTTGATGTTATTAGTGTTGGTTCCCACTCATAGTGACCCTGTATAGAGTTTCTAAGGAGCAGCTGAGGAGTTTGAATCACTGACCTTGCGGTTTAAACTAACTTGCGGTCCAGTGCATATCCTACAATGCCACACTGGGACTCCTAGGAGTTATAATTTTCCCATAGGAAGCTTTCCACATTTTTATTCCTTAATGGGTTTTGAATACCCAGGATTATTGCTCCATCCAACACTGGCACTGCTAGCTGAATTTCTATCTCAGTGCACAACATGAAAGCTTGGGTCTATCTGTGTCATGCAAAGCCAAGACTCTCTTGAAGTGATTTGTTTACAAGTGTCATTTGATGGAGTGGAATGTTCTGTAACTCATTTGAACTGTTACAGAAGCTTTGCAAAAAAGGTCACCACTGCATTTTGAGTTTCCAAATCTGGGCACCATCTGGAAGCTTGTTAAAGATAAGGTTTTCCACTGGCTTTTTGCATACCAACTAGATCCAATTAGCCAAGGGATACTTTACCAGAGAAGTTTGTGCATTTAGAAAGAGAGAGGGAAAGAAAGGACAAGAAGGAGAGCAAGAGGGAGAATAAGAAGAAAATTAGTCAGTTGCCCAATAGTGTACAAGTCCATTTTGCACCATAAAAGTTTTGAACCAGGTTGTCAGCCTTGAAAAAGTTGAATACAATGTACTTTTAAATATTCTTTATTGATATTCTTCAAGTATAGTCTTGGGATTCAGCACTAAAGGAAACTGAATTTCACCATTTACTCAAAATTAAATAGGAAAATGACAATTAATTCCTGAGAGTAATAAAGGTTATGCATGCTCACCAGTCATTCTGCATGGCACCAACTGTGTTCAAGTTGTTTTAACTTTGCAGACTCCAATGCCTAGGCCTAAAATTGGCTTGTGCTTTCTTATGAAACAAAAGTCTTGAATTTTCCAAATCTCAGAAGCTCAGCTGTAAACTGTAGACCAGTAAGAGAAAAAGGAAAGTTTCTTTCAAAGAAGTCTCTAGTCTCTGCTTGCCAGATTTGCTCGCTCCCTTGAAACATTAACTATGTCTTTTAACACTTGTTCTTGGAAAAAGTCCAAATGCAGCAAATGGTAGAAGCAACATTTCTTTACCCTCCTGCCTGGAACTTACCAGGACACGGATGAGTTTTAGCTGGTGCTTTTATGTGTGGAATAAGGAAGTCAGCTATTGCCCACCACTCTCACCCTTGTCGGTAGATGAAATGAGTAAACACATAGACCTACTGAATTAAAAATCAAAACCAGCTATTTTGGTTGTAACCCCTGAAAGGGTTTAGACCAAAGAGACTGCACAGTAGCAACTAAAACACTGACTAATTGCCATTAAAATATTCTAATAAGTGTGTGTGTATTTGTAGCAGGACACTTAAGAGACGAGAAACTTAAATTTGAAATCATATTTTTGTTTCTCCAGTCCCAATTAAGAGACATTAAAAACACAAAGACAACATCTCCCTCAGTCAATTAACCTGGTCTGGAAACCAACATTGTCTTTAGAAAGGAGGAAAAACTCATTTATATTCCTTTTGAGGCAAAGAGGGAGGTCTTTTTTGGCAAAATCTTTACACTCCATTCAGAATAGGAAGATTTAATCATCAAGTTCAAAGCTTGTCTCCTCATAGGGTTCACGGCGCATTGACTTCCTGTGTCGGGAATATTTCAGCTGCAAGAGATCACCAATTTCATCAAGGGCTTCCAAGACCTGCAACGAGATTGCCTCTTGTCAGTTATCTTTAAACTCTGAAATGACTCTGCTCTTTAGAGCACCATTTAAAGGCAAGTTTCACAAGGGCCCGTAGTCTTGCTTTGCTTTAAAGAAAAGGAACAAGATCCGTATCATAAAGTTATGGTTTGCAAGTATTAGAATAATGTTAGATGCCAATTCATTCTCTTCAATAGCCTAACTCTACATTATGAATGTTTATTTTTTGGAGTGTATGTGTGTGAGGAGCTGAATAAAAGGATCTGACCCATCCTGATGACTCAATGGTTAAACCCTCAGCTGCTAACAGAATTGTTGGTGATTCAAACCCACCAGCAGCTCCACAGTAGAGAAAGATTGCAGTTTTGGAAAGTTTACAGGGCAGTTTTCTGTCGTTGGAATCCACTTGATGACAATGGGTTTTGTGTTTTTCTGGCCCCAGCTTTATCATTAAAGACATTTCAAATGACATTATAGATAGATGGTAGATAGATAAATACATCAATAGAAGTATGTGTTCAGAAACCAACTTGGCCAAAACCGAAATGGAACTTCAAGAGAGCAGATGAGCATGCTCCACTATCCTCCCAAGCTTTATCATTCACCTCCCCAGCCTTTAAATATGACCTGGAATAATAAAACTTAAATCACAAAGGATAAAGAACCTATCTGTTTAAAGCCCCTTACTTTAGACTGGTAAATGTAGCTCTATTTTATAAATGAGAAAACTGAGATCCAGAAAATGAAAAATGTAATTTTTACTTCTAAAATATCCCTGATGAGCATGTCTTTGAACCTTTTCTCAGGCAGCTTTTTTAAATCTATCAAATGTGCAGGGAGACATTTGAAAAAGGTGAAGTGAGGGTAGTTAACATAAGAACAAATGATGAACGGAGTTATGATCATGCCTCCATAATTAAAGTAAAACTGACATTAATTACATAATAAAAATATTAACAAACACCGTGTTAAAAAGCCAGTTGCCTTTAAGATGACTGTGACTGATGGAGACCCCCATATGTGTTGGAGTAGAAATGTGCACCATAAGATTTTCAATGGTAGATGTTTTGTCAGTAGATTGCCAGACTTTCCTTCCTAGGCACCTCTGGGTGCATTTGAACCTCCCTCCATTTGGTTGCAGGTGAGCTCATTAACTGTACTACACACTCGATCACCATGTTAAGAGTGGTTTATTTCTGAGTGGTAGGATTATGGATGATGAAAATGATCAGTCTTTCCTGTTATTGTCTAAAAATTCAAACATTGAAATTGTCATTGTTGTTAAGTGCCGTCAAGTTGGTTCTGACCCATAGCGACCCTGTACAGGGTTTCCGAGGCTGTAAATCTTTACGGGAGCAGAAAGCTTCATCTTTCTCCTGCGGAGTGGCTGGTAGTTTCGAACTGCTGACCTTAAGATTCTCAGCCTGATTCATAACCACTACGCATTGAAATTAAGTACTAAGAAAAAGTAACAAAAGTTATCTGTTAAATGACATCTGGGATTGTTTCTGCTTGATCCTAATTGAAGGAGGGGATGGAGTAGCTCAGTGATTCCCAGAGTGACATACCTTTACACTCTGGGAACTGTGTAAGACAATTAATGGAGGATATGGGAGGAAGACATTGAGATTTGTATTTATATTTGTCTCCATCTTTTTTTTTTTTTAATGTTTTATTGTGAATTATATGGTAGTTTACATGAGAGAACTTTAGTTTTACATTCATTCCATCTTATATCATTTCATTGCCATGTTTCCAATCCCCTCCACACATCATCAAGGGACCAAAGGGTATACCCTACAAACCCCC